TAGACACAAAAAGGACGTGAAGACGCAGTTCACAGAAAAGGAAAGAAAAATGGCTCAAAAATTTTCAGAGATGTTTAACCGCCCTCCTCAGAAGACAATGCAAATAACAACAATGACCAAAGACAATTTCTCATTTAGAACTATGACAATGCTCCAGGGTGGGTGGGGTGGGGGTAGTGTGGGAACGGGCCTCCCATCTAATCAATGGAAGTGTGAATTGGTAATAAGATCTCTATGGAGAGCACTTTGACAACATCTATCAAAATAAAAACACAGCCTCCACTTCTACGTTCCATGTGTGCCGGAATTTCACTACATGTTATATAATAACCAAAAGGCCCCCTTAGAAGGTGAGAAAACAGAGAGGAGGCTGCCCGCACTGGTGCACACCCTTCCCCCAAACAGGTGATCAAGAAGCATGAAACCGTGCGTATGGCATATTAAGGTTTAGGAGAGAAGATAGACATAAATGAAAATAGAATATTTTTGGAAGGATACATAAGAAACTGTAACCATGCTTGCTTTTGAAGAGGGAACTTAGACACAGAGATGGTGAGAAATCTTGCTTTTATTCTTTATGTCCTGTCCCATGTGGGTGCATTTTTTTATTACGGTCAGTTTCTAAAAAAAAAAAAAAAAAAAGACATGTACAGACATGTTCACTGCTGTGTTGTATACAGCAGGCAGACTAAACCAAACCACACTGGGATGACCTACAGGTAAGTTCTTTCTAAAACTATTCCTATTGTGATGATATTGTAATTATTCTCCATCCTAATTGTACTGAGCCACTTTAAACAACTTCTAGTGTTGAGCCCCAGAAAAAGAAGTCAAGTTATTTCCTGGGATATTTAAATTACTCTCAGGTTACACAGGAGAAAAGCCAGCAATCTATGAGAGTTTTTGGCAAATAGAAAAAAACATCAGGACATTGGAGATGAACAAGCACCTTAAATTTCACGTACGGAAAGACAGCAGGTTAGGAAGTGTTACTGACACTGATTTTAGGCAAAATTCTAAGGGTTGTTCAAGGAAGTGGAGAGCATTAGAAACCAACAAGGGTTCACTCTGAACAATACAGGGTTCACTATGCAAATTATTGAGAGGAGTGTTTTAAACTCAGCAGAGCTGTGTTAAGCATGACAATCTTCCTACGTGGCTGGGGATAAAAGGAAGAGCAAGCAACAGCATGTGGAAGCTGAGGACCAACTTCATGATCCACTCAAGGCTGGTGAACCGACTTAAAACTCAAGACCACACAGTGTTAAGACCGGTCTGGGATGGCTCAACATTCTTAATCAAAGGCACCAACACGTGCAAATGCCCTGAAGACTTTACAGGGCAACATCAGCTTTATTTTGAAGGCACAGTGGATCCTGAAACACCAGGGACCAAGGCAAAGAATAGAAATTTACAAAGACAGAAATAAAGTAGAAATAAAAAAAGATCCTAACAGGAGAGATCTAGCAACCCTAAACTAGCAAGCATGCCACACACGGGCACCGGCTGAGAAAACCCTGCCTGAACAGGATCCCATCGAGCTTTGGGGACTGTGGCCTCAAGGTAGACAGATGATGCGTCTACTGAAAGCCTTCACACGCTGACTGTGAACTTCGTGAGTGGAAGATTCTGATCAGAACAGATCAGGGTGTGTGTGCCTGCTGGCCGTGTCCTGGGCAGTCTGCTTAAGAGACACGCACGCCATGTGAAGCTGTCAGAAGGGTAAATTCTGTTCCTTATGGAAGGACTGAAGGAGCTGGAGATTTCCTAGCCAGGAAAGAACCCAGCCCTTGTACCCTCAGATATCGGAGCAGGTGTGATACGAAGGAAGAAGGACCATTCAGAGGAGAATGCTGTGCAAACAGGCATGAGACGATCCTTGTTGTCGCCGCCAAAAAGCACATCTTTCTGTTGGAAGAGCTGCTGAGAAGTGGGCTGCTAGCTCGCGGGGCTCTCAGCAAGGGACGGCCATGCTGGGGACGCCACCGGGAGAGGACAGAGGCCTGTCAGCTCCAAAGCCCCTCTGAACTCTTACAGCCTGGAGCTCTACGTGGCCTGGCAGTTTCATGCGTGTAGAGGCTATCCTAGCCTGTATAACCCAGTTATCCCCAGCCTTTTTCACACCGGGGACTGATTTTGTAGAAGACAACTTTCCACAGCCTGGGGGTGAGGGGAATGGTTTGGGGATGATTCAAGTGCATTGCATTGATTGGGCCCTTTATTACTAGTCTAGTGCTGCTACTGATCTGAGAGGAGGTACTGGTCTGTGGCACAAAGGTCGGGAACCCCTGTAACAGAAAGGACAATATATGATATATATATATATCAATGGTATATATCTATAACATATATTTAATATAAGTAACATATTCATTGGAAGGACTGATGCCGAAGCTCCAATACTTGGGCCACCTGATTCGAAGAGCCGATTCATTGGAACAGACCCTGATGCTGGGAAAGATTGAAGGCAGGAGGAGAAGGGGACGACAGAGGATGAGATGGTTGGATGGCATCACCTACTCGATGGACTTGAGTTTGAGCAAGCGCCGGGAGATGGTGAAGGACAGGGAAGCCTGGGGTGCTGCAGTCCATGGGGTCGCAAAGAGTCGGACATGACCGAGCAACTAAACAACAACATCACTATGGACAACAATAAAAGGAAGAGCAAGGCGCCCTCCCCACCTAACACCTGGGGCGAGGACAGGGCCTCTGTGGCAGGGAGGGGCACACATGCGCTGAAGGAAGCCGAATGACAAAAACCTTGCACGTTTCTTTGAGTGGGGAAGACCTTGGCACTCCGCTGCGGGGGAGGGCACCAGAGAGCACTCCTCAGACCCCGCACTTCCATCTGCTGACAGGAGAAGCAGCCAACTCTATTCCCTCGGGCAAACCCCGCTGGCAGGCCCCTGACCCCCGGAGTTGGCACCCACCCAGGATACGTTCTGCATCCGTGCATCTGATCCAGGATCCAGGGGGCACGGCCCACAGAGGAGGCGGCTGGCCTCAGCTCTGCCAGAGTGTGCTTAAAAGGCTCTTGAGAGCATTGGTTATGGAACAGAACACCGTGGAAGGACAGACCTTTATTTAGATCTTATTTGTGCGTGAAAATCAATATGTCCTTTTTAGTCTTGGTCTTGCAGGAAAATGTGTCTCTTCCTACTGCCCCCAAGTCTGCACCTCTTGGACTGCCTTGTCAGCTGCCCGAAGCTGCATGGCAGGCACCCCAAACCACGCTGCGCATAGGTGAGCCCCTCGATTGCTCACCTGCAACACCTGTCCAGTTCTCTGAGGTGCCCGCAGAGCCTGCTTTCAAGGACGGTTCTATTTGTCTCCTCCCACCATCCACAGCACCACTAGGTAACGATTCTCTGTCCCACCTCCTAACTCCAAGTTGGCCTCCCCTGTCACCCCGGGACAGACCACCCTGTACATGCATCTGCTTTGATCTCCATTATTCCTCCCCTACTGTAGAAAGAGGCTCAAAGTATTTGACAGTGTTGCAAACCCTTACTTTCACAGACATACAAACAGTGTTAAGGTACTCAATGTTCTTCATTTTTCCTGCTGGTAAACAAAAGACAGATATTGACCTCCATGGATGGGAAACAGTCACAGAAACGCCTTGGCAGAGGACAGGCTGACTGGGGTAGGGGGCTCAAGGTGAACAAGCTAGAAGGATCTTCCCATTAACAGGTAATCCAACAGTTCCCAGAGGCCAGATCATTTCTCAGCAGGCTGGTACAAGCTGAAGACAATGGTTATGATGATGTAAGAGTTTCATCTTACGCATCCATGAGGCACAACTCTTTACCAACACACGTTTCGGGGGAGGGGGGAATACATGCCCATGGACTATTATAAACCGTCAAATTTCAGTGTTGCATTTAAACAAAGCATTTCAAACTCTGCCCAGAACTGCATGGAAGTGGGAGAAAGGTCTACATTTACTTTGAAAGGCAAATTAGTTGTTTAAAACACAGAAGGGGCAAAATAACACAAGTTGTTTGACGCACTGGCATACGACCTCTCTTACATGTTAAGAAATCCAGACAATATGTAGGGGTCTTGGGTGTTAACTTCCTAGTAGTGCCCATTCTCTGTCTCTTCGCATCTCTTGCAAACACTCCCGTTCTGTCTCCCAGGATGCTGGACCTCGGCTAGAGGGGACCCCTGGGCTGGAGCAAGTCCATGTGGAGCTGAGGCTGGCCAGGATCCGATCTCAACGCCAGGACCCGAGGGCTGCAGTGTGAGAGCCTGGCTGTCCCGGAACAGCACAAACTCAGCACCCTTCCTAACTCCAGAGGTGTTTGCTTTCTCAGGAACACTGGGGGTGGCCAACTCCAACGGGAAATAAATACCCCAGTCTCTGGGAAGGACTGAGCTTGGGGACAGGGACAGGGAGATTTCAAAGGTCGTTTGCTACTTTGGCCACCACTTGGGCTCTCCTGTCAGCTTTAGTCAGCTTCCAGTGCCAGCGGGGGATGGCTGGGGTCTGCCAGGAAGAACGCCTGAGCATAAGAGCGATTCTGAAGGGGCTGGTTCTCTGTGGGAGACTCGGGGGGCAGTGGGGCAGCAAAGGGCTGAGCCCGGGGCCTGGCTCCAGCGGGCAGACCTTGAGAGCGGCTCACAGACCAGCCTCTCGCCCTCCGCGGGCCACCCCTGCCGGAACGCAGTGACAGCTCCAGGGTGGGGGAGGGGAGCTCGCTCCCTCGCGGCGGGAGGGGCGCCCCTTGTGTGTGCGCCAGCGGGGACGCGAGTTTGGGTTCCCCTGGGAGTCGGGAGGCAGAGCCGCCGCGAAGGGCTGCGGGAGCCCAGCCGCGCACCCAGGCCCGCACCTCTTGGGGACGCAAGGAGGGCGAGCCCACGGGAGGCCGTGGACACGCGAGCGCGCACCACCGCAGGTCCCCGTCTGCAGAGCGCGCGGGGAAGTGCGCGGGGACCGCGGAGGGCACAGCGCGCTCGGGATGGGGACGCGGGGCCGGCGCGGTCGCTGGCCTTACCTTGCTGACCACGTTTTGCACCAGGCCTGTGCGGATGCCGTAGTCCCACGCGTGGCAGTCGCAGTTGGAGGCGTTGTCTCCCTTGTCCGGGGGGGACGGGAGGGGCGGCGCCTCGCCGCCGTCCGCGCCGCTGCCATTGCCGAGGGGGCCCGCTGTCCCCCAGGCGGCGGTGGGGAAGGGGGTGGTCGGGGGGCTGGTCCCGTTGGCCAGGTCGCCGCCGCCCCAACGGCCCGTGGCCGTGACCCCCGCCGACTCGGCGCCCTTGCCGGCCCCGCGGCACCAGAAGTTGGGCTGGTCCAGGAGGAAGGAGTCCGAGAACTGGCTGAAGCCTATGAACAGCGCGGGGATCCAGGTGAGCAGCACGAGGGTCTTCTGGTAGCCACCGCCCAGGCCCCCGAGGAAGGGCAGCACCGACCCGTCGTAGTCCAGCAACAGGAGGCTCGGGTGCGTTCCGCCGGCGGCGTGCGGCGCGGGCAGCGGCTGGATGTCACCGCCGCCTCCGGGGCCCGCGCGTCCCCCGAGGGGCGCCGAGGCCGCCGCGTCCCCGGGCGGCAGGGCGCCGTTCTCCTCGGCCGCGGGCGGCAGCCTCCCGGGCCCGCCGCCCGCCGCCTCGCGCCGCCGGTCTATCGCCATGGCCCGGGCCCGCGGCGCCCGCAGAGGCGCATAGAGCGCGGCGGAGGCTCCCGCGGGGCCCCGGGCAGAGCGCGCGGGCCCGGCGCCGCCGCCTCCGCCGAGCAGGGCCCGCCGCTCGCAGGGACGATCGGCCGCCGCGCGCGTCACTGCGCCCCCATGGCCGGCCACCCGCGCCCCGGCTGCGGCCCCGGCGGGCGCCGGGCGGAGGGCGGGCAGAGGCCGCGGCCCTCAGCCGCCGCCGCTCATCTGCTCAGCGGCCCGGGCGCCGGCGGCCGAGCCCGCCGCTCTTCGCGGCTCAGCGCGGCGCGCTCGAGGAGGAGGAGCGGCGCGGTGCCGGGGCCGGCCGGCGGAGCTCTGCGGGGCGCGGCGCGCGCGATGCGGGCGGCTCGGCGATCCCCGCGCGCCCGGGATGTATTTATCCGACCCCGGCGCCTCCCGGAAGCCGCGAGCCCGGTGCCAGCCTGCCGCGCCGGCCGCGCTCCCCGGCTCGGCTCCCCGGCTTCCCCCGCCTCCCGCGCCCCGGCCCGCCCCCTCTCCCCCCGCGCGGTGGAGGTAACGCGGCACCTGCTGCGCCCGCTCCTGCGCGCGAGCGCCCCCTCCGGCCCGCCGCCGCCGCCGCGGGAGGGGCGGGGACTCCGGCGCCCGGCTGCCGGTGCGAAGATCCCCGCCCGGATCCTCTCGGCGCCCGGCCGGGCGAGGGGGCGGCGCGCGCCGCCGCGGGCTCGTGGGGTCGGGGGCTCGGAGGGGGCGGCGCGCGCCGGGCGGGTGATCGGGTGGTCCTCGGGATCGGCTCCGGCGGGCGCCGGCTCTCGGTGACCTCTATCCGTTTCCCAAGTGCCCGCCACCAGCTACCTGCACCCTACGCCCGGCTCCGAGCCCAAGGGTCGCCAGCGTTCGGGAGCAACCCCCCGCCCCCGGGGCTGTTTCGAGGTGCCGACACAAGTCGAGTGTGCGCGTTTGCCCGTTTCAGGCCGTGGGTCTTCCTCAGCGTCAGGTTCCCCGAGACCGACCGCAGCACCCACTCCCAAGTCGCCATTTCTCGCCCCACTCCCGTCTAAACACGATGCCGGGCGGATATATTGCCAACCTGGAGTCACATGTAAATACCAACACCGGATCGCGAAGGTGCTGGCGTCCCCCATCCCCTCCCCAGGTGCACTCGGATCCCGGCGGAGCGCACGGGGCACCGCGGCCCGGCCTCCCCTCCCCTCCCGCACTCCCGGGCCGACCGTGCCGCCAGCGCGGTACACAGAACACCGCCCTGCGGCAAACGGCCGCCTTCGCACATTTCCTTCTGCACCCGGCCTGCCCAGTGATAGAGACCCTTGACTTGACATTTTGGGAAGTTTATTAATGAGTGTCTCAAATAGAGCAGTCCATTTCCACACTTGTTTGGGGTGGGGGCGGGGAATGGAAGAAATGCTTTTGCTTTCCAAAAGAAGCTGCGCTTACAGAATGTACTCTTGGATTTCCATTATTTGCTTACATTTTTTAACCTGGGTTTCCTCTTTGTTATGGGCAATACATACTTACTAGATAAAATACTAGCACGCAGGAGAGAGAGAGAATTCTTTAAAGGCTTCCAGAGGCCTTGGGGGCAGGGAGCTCATGGAGTCTCCTGTGAGCCTGAGAAGGGGAGATTAGATAAGCAAGGGGCCCGCAGGAAACGCCAGACCTCGGAGAAATGGGTCTCAAACCCTGCACGTATCTAAACGCTAAGCACTTGGTTAGTATTCAGTGTTTCGGTAAAGACTGAACCTGGCAGTGTTGTCTTTCAGATACTCCTCTTGGGACCCCCAAGAGGTAGGTCCTCAAGATGAAGCTGCAGGGTTAGGTGAATACCAGGCCAGGCAGAGCCAAACATCTAGCTTGGAACCAGATCTTCTGACTTTACACTCTGGGGTTTCCTCCATTTCAACAGGCAGGGTAAACAACAAAACCTCAACAAAGCAAACAGAAAGAAAATCAAGAAAAAAAGTCATAGGAAAGAGTTTTAAAAGATATTTGTCAATATGCATGGGGTGGCAAAGAGTCAGACACAACTGAGTGACTGAACTGAACTGATTTTTAAGTGGGAGAATCCCTGGCCTCGGGGAAGAGTTTCATTGCCAAGCTGTTTGTTAGCTCTTGTTTCAAAATGGTGGTAAAAACCCTCAAGTGGTACATTCCCAGATTTGGGGGACATACTTGAAATGGTAGCCCTTAAAATTCAAGCTATATGGAGAGAGTAATATGGAAACGTACACTGCCCTATGTAAAATAGGGAGCCAACGGGAATTTGCTGCATGACTCTGGAACTCAAACTCCCGGCTCTGTAACACCCTAGAGGGGAGGAGGAGAGGGGAGAGAGGTGTGAGATTCAAGAGGGAGGGGACATACATGTACCTGCGGCTGATTCATGCTGATGGTTGGCAGAAACCATCAAAATTCCGTAAAGCAGTTAGTCTTCAATTGAAGAATAAATTAAAAAAATTTTTTAATCAAACTAAAAGGAAGTCACCTAAGATGTTTGGAATTAGCCAGCGCCACACTGACCTGGTCGTTGTAATTGAGTTACCGATTAGATTAGGATTTTCCTAAATTCATCTTCGATCGACATGCCCCCTGCCCCCAAATCTAGTCAAGAAGATTGAAGGGTAACAAAGTGCTCTTGAATTTGTTAAGGCATATTGCAAGTGACCTCACAGAGGGACCTAGCACAAAATGAGTCAGGAGAAAGAAGTGGAAACAGAAGGCCGCCAGGGTAAGTGTCCGGGATCACTAGCCGGTACAGGGCAGCCTATCAGACACCTGCTATCACATTACTGAATTCTACTTTCCTGCAATGTAGTTATCACTAAGAGCTAGTTTTCTTGTTTGCTTATTTATTTATTGCCTCCTGACTCCAGAAGGTTCCTGTCCTCAGCTGTGTTTTTGCTGCCTGGCACACCCAAGACAGTATATATCGTTGAATAAATGAGTGTGTCCAGTTGTCGTTGAGAGATCATATGTTAAGATCCTCCATCTCTGTTCACTCGGATTCTTCAGTCACCCAGCAGCCTTTTCATGTTTGTTGAATCTCTCAAATATAGTGCTCAGATCAGCCAGTAGGAGAATTCAAATGGTCCTGACAATTCTATGTCTTATTCTAAGTTATTGTGGTTAAGTGGGTTAGCTCCCAGTGTAAAGTTCTTGTGGGCAGTTAAAAGACGCTTGCTCCTTGGAAGAAAAGCTATGATAAACCTAGATGGCGTATTAAAAAGCAGAGACGTCACTTTGCCAAGAAACGTCTGTATAGTCCAAGCTATGGTTTTTCCAGTTGTCATGTAGGGATGTGAGAATTGGACCATAAAGAAAGCTGAGCACCGAAGAATTGATGCTTTCAAACTGTGGTGTTGAAGAAGACTCTTGAGAGTCCCCTGGACGGCAAGGAGATCAAACCTGTCCATCCTAAAGGAAATCAGTCCTGAATATTCATTGGAAGGACTGATGCTGAAGCTGAAGCTCCTATAATTTGGCCACCTCATATGGAGAGCTGACTCACTGGAAAAGACCCTGATGCTGGGAAGGATTGAAGGCGGGAGGAGAAGGGGACAACAGAGGATGAGATGGTTGGATGGCATCACCGACTTCACGGACGTGAGTTTAAGCAAACTTCGGGAGATAGTGAAGGACAGGGAAGCCCATGGGGTCACAAAGAGTTGGACACGACTTAGCAACGAAACAACAACAAATGGGTTTGCAGACCATGATTTGTGGGCCATAAGCAGCTCATAGACCACAAACTATGCGTCCAGAAAAATAACTACTAACTTAAAAATCAGGAGATTCTTTTAAGCACATGGCAGAAGCCCTGGCCCTTGTGATGCTCCTTTCCTTGAAAGGCAGTGGATGGATAGGAGTTCTCAGCTTCTCTTGTTTCTGCTGGGCACGCTGGGATGTGTGTGCATGTCTCTGGCCCCAGAGAACGTCTGAGATTGTGACCCTAAATTTATGTTGGTATCCTCAACTCACTGATCTCCATTTCTCTTCCTTTGAAAACATGTCAAAAATGTCTGTTTGTAATTTTATTAAAATTGAGAAAATGAAAAGAAATAAAAGATACAACCAAATCACCAATACACTTGAACAATTTTATTTCCTTGGAGATAGCAAGAGGAAAAAAAATATTTAGCTTACTTCTAAAGTTGACAGAAGTCTAATTTTAAATCCTCCAAAATTCTGGAAGAGTTAGTTTCAAGGAATTGGTATCAGGGTTAATAAAATGTACAAAGCAATCATAGCAGATGGACTTCACATTGTTTTCTTTTCATTTTTTTTGAACCTGTATGTTCATGCTTTTTATTTATACTTGAAATGCAGGTAGATATATTTTAAAATATCGTGTCCTTTTTTTTTTTTACACTACAGTCTGATTCTTTCTTTCAAATAGCTGTTTGAAAGGTAGGTTATCTTGATTTTTGGAGGATGGGAGAAAGTGATATGAAATTACTTCAAAGTCTACTGTGTACATTTGAACTTTATTTACATCATCCTTTGACTTTTGAAATGTTAACTTTTGACTAACAAGGAATTTGACATTTACAAAACCTATCATAAATGAAAGTGCAACAACTACTTTTGTTCTGTGGAAGAAGTAATCAAAATATCACAAAATCTATCCTTTAAAAAACCTACAGGGAATATCTTGAGAAAAACTGGAGGAGGAGTACAAGCCAATTCATTGTTCCTGATCAAGGGAAGTGAAAAGAAGTAACAAAGTGAAGATAAGACTTCTATGCAAAAAGCAATTCCATTATAAATCTGATTGATAGGGCCCAATTAAAAGCTTGGTTAAAATTTAATTCTGAACTCTTATTGAGTTTAAAAACAATTAGTAGAACAAATTGATCTAGAATTGGGGGCTGGCTTTTGTTTGCTAAAAACCGCAGATGTCACGTTTGCCTTCTTGTGGTTAAGAAGTGTGATATCACTTACATGTAGAAACTAATACATGGTACAAATCAACATATCTAGAAAAC